TGGTTCCGATTCAAACGTCGGTGAAGATTGCCCAAGTGCTGAGATTGCAGCTGTCAGCCAATGAACACGACGGTGAAGACCACTCTTACACATGATGTCATCGTCGTATTGGTCTTCTGATATCAACAAATTTTCTAATGCGTGGAGTTCCGCCCGAGTCTCGGGGATTTCAAGTTTAACAACAAGGAAAACTGAAACTGTTCTTCCTCGAGCCAACCCACGCATAGAGGGCTGTGCTACAGGACTCAACGGTATTTTGAAAGCTGGAATGCGTCAAACAAAGCATAATGGCAATTCGCAACACTTACAATTTTCAGTACCCTTTAACTTAGATAGAGCCTGAAGCGACAAGGAAGTCTTCGCAACTAAATGCCGGTTCTTGCGTTTCTTCTTGTTCGACGCTTGATAATGCACATTGAAGTCCATTCGGGTACGGCCGTCCGCGCCCTGCCTGGTCAAATGTATCGGTGAGTGGCAGGAAACTGTAATATTAAAAAGATGACAAACTTTATCATGAAACGTTCCCTGAGATTTGGGTTCTGTCCGTCGCATCCTAGGTTCACTTCATAATGTTGGTACTGGTCTACCACTATAGAAACGATTGGTCTCCAAGACTTTTCAGGACGCAAAGGCTGATACCCTTGTGCGCGAATGACTGTAATTGCATAAACGGCAAGTCAAGCAAGTTTTCGTAACTATCTAGCGCTGGTGTATACATACCGGTGATTACCCAGGGACTTTTCAAGTAACGTGTTACTAGTGAGCTACTTCAGCCCTCTCATCATTGGCTGATATGCGCACCGTGACTCTGATTCGTCCGTACATTGCATGTGCAGCAGAAGTACCTTGGGAATTGGCTGGTGGAGTGTGGGATAAGGCCAAGTGGCAGTGCTGACTTCCAGTGTAAATGCTTTGATTGCACCTTGATGCGGCCGTATTAATATTATTATTTGGTGCCACTTATCATTATTTTTGGAACAATATCTTACTAAAGGAGCCTTGATGCGGGTCAGAAAATAATGCGCTAAGCCTGCAAACACCTGGTCGATATTTTCATTGACAGCCTGCACGGCCATGGAACAAATCAATCAGACACCTTGGAGATTCTTGTGAGTTGCAGGACAAGGAAATATAATACTATAATATAACATATTAATAACCCCATTAATCAATTTATGGTACGGTTAAGCAACGCGGGTCCCTTGCATCCATGACATAATGATATTGCCTTGTAATCGCCGAAGGCGCGCGGTTAAAACCCCGCACCGTGATAGTTATTTCAAATAGGTATTTGTGACAGATTAGTTCTACTCCGCGAGGGCAGTAAACCTGTGTAAACCCAACATGACGCTTGTGCATGAGCATTAATATTTGGTGGTATGCACAACAGCGGAAGTGCTTTTTTTTTTTTTTTTTTTTTTTTTTTTTTTTGATCCAGTTTTTTGTCCATTGAGAGATGTACTCTATGTAGGACAGTACTGTCTAGTCAGGGAGCCCCATGCTCCGTCCCTTCGTTACATCCCCAAATGCCCTGGTGTAAGGCGTACCCCACCAGTCCGCCGTTCCCGCCGGCCGTTTTAGATGGGCGATGTGGTACACTATGGGATGACTATAAGTAAGATTGCTTGTGTAGAGGCTATCGGTAAACGTATAACGCATGCTCGGTCGCTTTCGCGAGCCAAACAGAGATCAGTTGGAGTGTGCAGTAAGAGTAAAGTGGATATAAGAATCGAGGAGACATAGAAGCTAGGGTGCGCTTCCTAGATGGACTGAGAGACAGGTGGTCCAAGGTGTCGGGGAGTCCTATATCCGCGTCTTGCTGGCTGAATCCCCAAGGTGAGACCGAAGATCTCGTGTAGGCGAGCTGTTAGGGTTGAGATTAGGGGAGGATATGATATTATGGAGGGAGTCAAGTGACAGTAGAGTAGTAGCTGGATATTAGGGTGTGTCAGAAAGGTCAGGTTTTAGGTAGCGAGATTTCACCTAGCGTGGATTTTAATCGACGAGTTTGGTTAACATATCGGACAAGGATGACAATGGCTTCTGGGTCGGTTAGGATGTGCGATAACGAGGTGGATTTCCGTCCCAGGGCCTGGGACATGACTTGACGAGCTGCGAGATAATGCGGGCATTCAAATAGATAGTGAGGGACAGTTTCATCAATATACGGGCAATGAGGACAATCGGGAGAGTCAGTTTTCGTGAGTCGGAACAGGTGTTGGTTGAGTGGTAGGTGACGGGTGCGTAGGCCAATGATGAGACCGGTGAGACGTTTAGAGAATGGCGAGGTGAGCTTGAGAAATGAACGTTTGATGGCAGAGGGGTCTATATGTTGGATATGTTGGAAGCGGGGGGAGGTGGACCATAGGTCGGCCCACTTGGCGTGCGTGCGTTCTCGATGGGCTTGCTTGATAGCTGAAAGGCTGAGCGGCAGTGTATTGTTACGAAGGTATTTGGGGAGAAGCTCACGAGGGCTATTGCGGTTCCTTCCCTCAGCCGCTACTTTCGCTGCTTTGTCTGCCTCCTCATTCCCGTGTACCCCCTCATGTCCTGGGACCCAGCGGAGCGTTAGTTTGAGACCTGGGTTTGCGCGTTTGATCTTCTGTAGGAGATTCTGAAATTTCATTGCTAGATATGAACCTGGATTAGAGTAAAAGCTCTCACCGGATAAGATGGCTGCCTGGTTGTCGACGGAGATGGAGATAGGGAACGTGAGATCTCGTTCAGTGGCGATCAGTTTGGCGGCTAGGGTCAGGCCGACCATTTCGGCTTCAAATACAGTGTGATCTTCGTCCTTGCCTAGGTAATAGCGCAGAGTGCGTGGGGTTTTGCCTGCACGGAATAGAATGGCTGCGGCGCCTATATGGCCATCATGTCCGGAGCCGTCGCTGAAAACTTGAATGTCGTCTGGTAGGTCGTGATGTTCGTTGATAGCGTCTTCGCGGGAGGCAGCAATGTGCGTATCATAGAGATTGGAGGAGGTGGGTGCACGACGAGCTGGGATGAGGGTTTCAATGTCGGAGGGGTTGATTTGGTAAAATCGGGTGAGACGATGGAGGGAGGAGCGATGGGACGAAACATAACGACTAGCGGCGGTTCTGACTGCAGTGTAAAGAGGATGAGTATCAGGGTGTGCGGACATTCGGATGATAGCACGATGGCACGTGTTCTGGAGCAATAGGGCCATCGGCAGGAGGTTAGCATGTACTTCGAGCACGTCAGTAGCAGTGCTGCGCATAGCCCCGGTCATGGCAATGGCAGCGATGCGCTGGATAGAGGTGAGTTTTATGGCCACTCCTAGGGATCCTCGCTGCAGGGTGTTAGTGCCTTCACGATATGCTGGTGTAAACCAAAGGTCAGCCGCGTATAGCATCTTGGGGACGGCGGTGGCTTGGTAAAGCTGCCTCATGAGACGAAGTGGGATGCCTTTAGACATGGTGGAAAGTCGTCGAAGCTGTAGAACATAAGCTAATCCCTTGGCCAGCGCGTTGTCAACCTGAGCTTTCCATCTCAACTCCTGATCGAGAATGACACCTAAGAAACGATGAGTGGGAGAAGGATGAATAACGGCGCCTCGGAGATGCAACACAGGGCGCTCTCTTTGTCTGTTCATGGAGAAATCAATCAGTGCGAATTTGTTAGTCTCGAATTTTGAGTTGTGGTCTCGTGACCAGTCGAAGGCCCCATTCCGTCGTTCGAGCATGTCTTTGAGGATGCGGTGAGTCTCGTGGAAATCCTTACCTATGGCCACTAGGGCCGTGTCGTCTACAAAAGCAAGGGTTAGTTCGGTTAGGGACGCGCGTCCATGTCGGGGTTTCGCGATGTCTACAAGATCAGCACTATATATAATATATAAAATCATTGAAAGGGGATCGCCCTGTCCTATACCATTATTGATGTTGATCCAGTCTGAAGTGTACCCGTCGAAGTGTAGCTGCGTCTTGCGGTCCGTGAGGACCTGCTCCGTGAAGTCGACCAATGCTGAGGGCAAGCGTCGATTCCGCATGTTGTGTAGCAGCCGTTTGGTGACCGCGTTCGGGAAGGCCCCCTCGATGTCTAAGAATAGCACCGAGGCAACTTTATGAGAACGCCACGCATTTTTGATGGTGTGTTCCAGGAGGTGAAGAGAGTCGGTAGTGGATCTTCCTGGTCGGCCACCGAAATGGGTGTTCGGCAGAAGGTGATGGTGTTCTAATAAGTACGTCAGCTGTTCGGCAACCACGGCGGTAAGGAGCTTGCATGTGGTGTTAAGGAGGGCGATGGGACGATAGGCTTTAGGGACCGTGTAATTCGGTTTGCCGGGTTTCCGAAGTACAACCGTCGTGAATGTCTTCCAAGGGAGCGGAAGTGCTTAACTGCGAACTTGCAGCTTTAATAGACTTCTCGGTGCATATAATCGTGTGACGCTGTTGGGCATTGTAATTTGTGGGCGCATGTTCCCACTGACTTGAATGATACCAAAACCACGACAAGATAACTTCGGTCTCCTTGTTCTGTCCATGCTCGACGTTGCGAGGGAAACTCGAGGCCGAACGCTGGCTTAGTGGTGCTGTGTCGGGTTTCGCAGGAGTAGAAATACCAGACTGAATGTGAGCTAGATCCCCATCAACATACTCCACAGATTCATCATATCACTAGATTCCATTAGAACTACATTATGGTTTCCTTCAAGAACCTCTATACTCCACGCGATGCTCGCGAGCGGGTCTTCGCCGATATCAAGAACGTCCTGTCAGCTGTCCTTGACCTCTGCATTGCCAACAAGGAGTTGCTGACCCAAGAGGAGCGATCGTCTTTGATGGATGAATACACCAGGTACAATATATGCATCTTGTCGTATTGTATACTACATTTTAATGGTTGATAGTCTTGCAGATGCTCATGTTCAGGCGACCAAGGACAAGAGCAAATGTTTTAATAGCACCTTGCCCGAGCTACTCGAGAAGTGCGAGGTCTTCCAGTCGAGGGTAGAGGTTCGTTCTTCCTAAATTCAGCGAGAACTATTTTAATAACAGTTTACAGAGGGTGTTCATCAAATACAAACAAGATGAATTCATGAGAGCTCCAGCAGCTATAGGTAGGCGCTGTCTACCGTTGTTGTAGCTCAAGACTGAGTGCCGTAAATTAGCTACCCCCGAATCTTTCAAATCATCCATCGCGCTGATTGATCCCGACCCATCTCTCAGGGTCCCATCCGAAATTTCTATTTCAGCTCAGTCCAATCCCATTCTTGCCACGACAGGCGGAAACGACTCGTACCCGAGCACTCCCGGCCTTTTAACAGGCACAAGCAATTCTGTAGTCTCCGCCAGTATTCCTGTAGTCCAACAAACAACCTGGAGCACCTCCGCAGGTACGTGCATCCCATCTTAACCTTCATGTTCAATAATGAGGCCATGAAAATTAGCACCCGCGGAGAGAAGTCCACTTGCATCGCCTGGCGACACAAACTGCATGATATTCGACCAACAATTGTCTGTTGGGTCACCTACATTTAACATTGACTCCGAGGGGGCAACCGGAGCAAGTAAGCCATATGTTTTCGAGCCTAGATCTGCATACTGATCAATTCTTTAGCGGTTATATCCCGTGACGATCCATCTCCTAGGATCTCACCACAGGGACTGCAGCCGTCCACGAGCGCTCGCCACCCGCAGACAGCTCCCACCATGAGTCGCGACAATGTCATGTATTTCGGCCCTGGCATGACAGTGGATAGCCCGACCTTCAACATCCGGTCCAAGAAAGCCACTGGCATCAGTGAGTACACTCTTAATCGTCATCGACTGATGTGAGCCCGGCGTTGACATTTATCTCCAGTGGAAGTGCAACGAACTGCTTCTTACTTCTCACAACCATTGACTGAAGTCACTGAACCATTCCGTTGAACAAGTTATTTACAATACTCACAAGCTTTGCACCTGGGGATGTGAGCGTAGAGTATTATACAAAATTGTAAATAGCTGTGCATAATGGTAGCAACTTGTAGGTCTATATATTACATAGATAGTACATATATATGTGACATCGAATGCGTTTCAAAAAGGCTTCTTCTATTCACTGTGCAGTTGTATTTGCCAGTAGTCTGATTGTACGAGAACGTCCGGGAAATGGCCGACTCTAGGGTTACTCTACATAGACTCTGGGGCCAAAGTCTTGGGCCGGTCTGGGGCTTCGGCAGCTGACTTCAGACGGAGTTCAAACATTCTTCGATGACAAAGCGTCACGGCTGACACAATCTCCCACCCCCTCGCGCCGCTTGCCTGCTGCTGTGCTCCTCCTGCCCGTCCAAACAGCACTGACAGGGAATCAGGCAGGCGGGCGGTTGTGCAAGTATTAGCCCTAGAAAAGGAAGGCAGTTAAGAAGGGCAGATGTGCAGGAAATGGACAACAAAGGCTACTGATAGTGTGCATTTTGAGCGGAGCACGAATGCAGCATTCCAACAGCAGATGGCGGGCGGGTGGGAAGTGTAGAATGTTGGACTAAAGGACAGTTCTCAGCGTCGTGGAGAGAAGCACTAATATTAATAATACCTAAAGGACAGTTCTAGAGTGAAAACATAGTGAGAATGAGGTGGCGTGCAAGCTGAACATAATACGTACCTCAGCGTTGTGGAGAGAAGTGCTGAGGTACAAATAACGTGAAACAACTGAGTTATAAAGTAATGTAAAGAGTCCGGAATCGCAAAGATAAAAATAGAAATGATGACGATGTTGACTTCCAATACACCCCCTCAATGAGACAACATTGAAGCTGCTCCCTCTTAACAACACACCAAGGACAATCCGGAGCAATGATGCACGAACGCGGGACAGGGCAAGACTTTAGTGAAAATGTCTGCGGTGTTTTTGTGAGTTGATAGCCAGATTGGTAGGAACATATTTGCTTCGATGTGACGTCTGATGAAATGGTAGCAGAGGTCGATGTGTTTTGTACGTATATGATTTGCGGCTTCCTCGGATAACGCGATGGCGCCCACATTGTCGGCAAAGAGCTGTAAAGGTAGGGACAACGTGAATTTCAAGCATTTGAAGAGTGACTTCAACCAAATGCCATCCTGAATAGCCGCTGTAAGTGCCATATACTCGGCTTCTGTTGACGACAAAGTCTGTGTCGTTTGTTTCTTTGCGGAGTGGGATATTGGGCCGCCATTAAGAAACCAAACATATCCTGACACTGACACATGATCTTCAGGACACGAGGCCCAATCGGAATCGGAGAAGCCATGAAGATTAGGATTGATGCCTGCACCCCCATAGTGGGTCCTCATCATGACCATTCTGGCCAGGTACCGAAGTACGTGTTTGGTGCCCGCATAATGTTTAGCTTTTGGAGATGAGTTGTGCTGAGAAAGGCGCATTACAGAGAGCCTGGCGATATCGAGCCTTGTGTACATTGCAAGATAAAGCAGCTCGCCGACCAGCTTTCTGTACTCCATTTGGAGGTCTTCGACGTGTGGGAAGACATCCATTGGATGTCCAAAAGGAAATGAAGGATCCATGGGGAGGGACACGGGGTTGCACGAGGTCATCCCATGTTCCTCGAGCAAGTACAAGATATAATCCTCCTGATGCATCCACAACTCCCGCGTCTTACGATCTCTAACAAATTGCACACCCAGGTACTTCGTGACGGGTCCCAGGTCAGTGATTCCGAATCGTTCAGCTATCTGCAACTTAGTACGATCGAGGAACATACAGCTATTCGACCCTGCGAGGCCGTCATCTATGTGCCACGCGATGATGCAGACAATTCGCGTCCCCTTGCCATCAGTGTGATCAAAAATGAAAACAGCATAATCTGCCTCTCACACTGGAGGAAGCCAAGATGCTGGAGGACCTCGCACAGCAGCTCGTACCAGTCGTACGCAGCTTGCTTTAGTCCATAGAGTGAGGATAGAAGATGAGCGACCAGATGTGCACCATTGTGTCCGGTGCGCTCGAAGCCCGGCGGTTGGTGCATGTAAACATCTTCCTGGAGTTTTCCCCAGAGGAATGCGTGTCACGCGTCAAAGCAGTCCAACTCCCAGTCATTTGCTGCTGCATAGGCTGCTAGGACTCGGATGGACACAAATTTGGTGACGGGGGCAAAGGTTCTCCCAAAATCAACACCAGGGATTTGCGAAAAACCCTGTGCCACCAGTCTGGCCTTGAAGATGGACCCTCCCTTCAAATCCTCCTTGAATTCAAGTACCCAGTGACAGCCGATGGCTCATCGGTTCATGGGCAAAGGTACGAGCTCGTACACGTTCATCTCCAACATCAGATTCATCTCCTTCCGCATGGCCGCGAGCCAGTAGTCACAGTCTGGACGTCGCGCTGCTTCATCATACATTGCCGGTGGCATACACAAGTCATACCCTTCTGCAAGGGGATTCCTCCATGTGTCGCTGCGTACTGAGAGTGTCGTGATCTCCACAATGATAAGGTTAGCGATGACTTGTGGAAAACCGACCTCGTCATGATCCGGAATGATAGTGTCTGGGTCAATTACCTCAGGCGAAGGAAGGTCAGGCATGGGCATTGGTGTGGTGATGATGGGTGGATCAATGGGGTCAGGAGAACTGGTGGGAGGTGGAGTGCCGTTGAGGCGTGCAGCACAAATCTCCTGCTGATGAGTAAGACGGGCTTTGTCAGCGGCAATGTGATCCTTATATGTCTGACCTTTCTCGGTTTGCACAGGGATCCGCCCCGACCGATGAATGATGGACACGTGAGGAGGGCTGGTGGTGGTCTGGGCTGGGGAAGGGATGATGGGCGAGTGTGAGGGAGCCGTGCGTGGACTGGGCGAGTTGATGACAGGGTCATCCTCATCATCACTGTCAGGAAAAGGGCGGTTGGAAAGATTTTCGTCAAAAATGTCATCTCGGGAATTGAAGAAAGCACCAGTGACGGCATCACAACACCTCCAGGCTTTCACTCCTGGTGGATACCCCATGAATATGGACTCTTGCGACCGGGGACCGAGTTTATGTTGGAGTTCTGAAGGGATTCAGGCGAAACATTGCACCCCAAACACACAAAGGTGAGCGAGATTTGGTTGGACACCGTGCAACATCTCATAGGGAGTTTTGCCCGGAGGAAGGGCACGAGACTCCATCCTGTTAAATAGGTAGCATGCGGTAAGAGCCGCCTCCCCCCAAAGTCCTGGAGGCAGACGCGCAAAGTCCAGCATCGCATACATACGACCTTCGATCGTACGCATCACCCTCTCCGCTTTCCCGTTCTGCTGATGAGCATATGGGGCGGAGCGTTGACGCTGGACCCCGGTCTCCTCTAGGTGCATCGTGAAGGCCTCATTAATAAATTCCCCCCCGTTGTCACTTCTAAATGCTTTCACGTGTGAGCCCGACATATTCTCCCATCGCGTGTGTAGCAGTCGCCATGCATCGAGAGCCTGATCCTTGGAAGCTAATAGTTGCAGGTCCAGGGTGTGCGTGTGGTCGTCCAGGAACACGATGAAGTAGTGTTTGCTGTGGGGAGTAGTGGTGGGGATTGGGCTGCAGACATTACTGTGAATGAGGTCCAGGAAAGCAGGTGCTCGCTTTGTCTCTGAGGGATGGAAGGGTTGCCGAGGATGTTTCACCATGATGCACGATTCGCAATGCGATAATGGGTCTGTAGAGTCGATTGTCACCCCCTTAGCCATTTGACTCAGACACAGAACAGCGTCTTTGCCGAGATGCCCAATTCGGGCGTGCCACAAGTCAAGAGTGTGAGGAACGTCAGTAAACACGGACAATTCCATGTTGCAAGTAGCCATATGTGAAGATGACGGGGGGGCGATGAACTCGAGATCGAGTGCATAAAGTTTTCCCATAGCTGGAATGGCGCCCAGGCTGTCGCCCTTGTGAGCAAGCTCGCATGTCATGTTCGATTTGAAGTTAACATCCCACCCCTTCACATTCATGCAACTCACAGACAGCAGATTGAGCATTGCGTTGGGCGCATGCAGACAATTGGAGAGCTTGATACACAGACGTTGTTTTCCAATGGTGAGCCATGCCATGCATGTCCCACGTCCCGTCGTCTCAAGTATCCCATGGTTGGCAGTGCAGACAGAAACTGATCCTTCCGTGGAGTATGAATGGAAGAACTGTTTATCCTTGACAAGGGTGACAGTAGTCCCCAAGTCCAGTATGGTTGAGAACGGAAGAGAGGTCGCACAAACAACTTCATCTGGGATGTCAGCAATGGAGGCGAACGACATGTCTGCCATCAGGCTGTTGAGCCCAGTTACTGCCGCTGCAATGGCAGGATGTGCTAGGGGAGGAGTCAGTGCAGGTGTAGACGACGATGATGCAGTCACAACTGCCGCAACAGGGGAGTCCTTACGCTTATTCTGCATCCACGGAGCCTGACCCTCCATCCCGCCTCCTTTCCCATAACAGTGTGCATGGTCGTGATCCCCTTTATTGCATCCAGGTGTTGTGCAGAACACTCCGTCTGGATTGTGTCTGTGTTTCTGGAGGCCAGTAATAGAGTTGATGCCAGGTGCAGTTGTATTGGTGGAGGTTGCATTGGCATATTCCGAGCCGGGATGAGCAGAATGTACAGCATGCACATGGACATGATGCGCAGCCTCTGCTGTGATGCAGGAGACACAGCTCTCGACGGTGAAGGTGCAGGGTCGCATAGCAGTCGCAGGCATGATCTCATCATGCATCCATTGTTCGAGCATTGATTTGAACTGTTGCCAGATGGGCGTCTGAGGGAGCCCAATGAGAATACTGTAGATAGCATCACTATCCCGCAGAGGGGCCCCAGAGTCATGAAGCCATTCATGGAGCATGGCGTGCTGACCGACATAATTTGTCATGTCAGCAGAATCCTTCATTTGAAGGGCATCAAGCCGTTGACGTAGTTGATATTGAGCGCTTGTATCTGTACGGTTGAAGTGCTCTGCAAGAGTTTGCTATGCTTTATGAGCAGTGACAGTATGAGAGCATGAAATGAGTGATCCGACAGATGGACTAAGGCGGCGGGTGATGAGATCTTTAGCCTTCATATCGTTTAACAGCCATTCATGCATCGCTGCCAATTCGACAGGTGTGACATTAGCTGGATCGACTGGGATGGGCATCAAGGATGGTGTTCCGAGAATATCTGCAGGATCGGCAGTTGTGTTGATATGGCACCATAAGTCCTCGCATGCTAATGCATATTGAGTCTTCGTTGACCATCCAACATAATTTTCTGAGCCCAGCAATTCCGGAATGTGATTGAGTTTCCCCATAGTGATGCCACCATGAAGGAAGAGCGAGATGTATGAGCGGTGAGTTGGCGTGAGTGGATTATGTCCTTATAGTTCTGTCTGATGGCTCAATATGGGCCAGGGCTCATAACCTGTAGAACATTGGACTAAAGGACAGTTCTCAGCGTCGTGGAGAGAAGCGCCAATATTAATAATACCTAAAGGACAGTTCTAGAGTGAAAACATAGTGAGAATGAGGCGGCGTGCAAGCTGAACATAATACGTACCTCAGCGTTGTGGAGAGAAGCGCTGAGGTACAAATAACGTGAAACAACTGAGTTATAAAGTAATGTAAATAGTCTGGAATCGCAAAGATAAAAATAGAAACAATGACGATGTTGACTTCCAACAGGAAGCATTTGCATTGGCAGGAAGGCAGCAGTGGCGGGAAAGCTTGTGTTAGCTATTGACACATGACACTTTTCCTGTTTGAACTCTGCCTGAAGTCAGCCACTGAAGCCCCAGACCGGCCCAAGACTTTGGCCCCAGAGTCTATGTAGAATAGCCTTAGAGTCAGCTAAATCCCTGACTTTTACGATTGTACAGGTGCTGAGACGTCGCCTGTGGGAGTTTCTCGGCACAGCTGGGGGTTAGCGTAATTGACCTGCCCACAACTCATTGAGCTTGGCATCCTTCAAACCCTCGCTCATTATCCTTCTCATTCCTTGCTCTCACCCACCACTCCCTCTGAATTTGCTTTCCAAACTGTTGATCATAATTGGTAGCATATATAAAGATGCTTATCTTGATTTGTGCCGCACAAGAGCCAGCACACGACCGAATTGTATAAGCAGGGTGCCATTTGAGTCCTATGTGAGCCTGCAAACATTTTACTCAAACAAGTGCTTACTAAGTGAGTGAATGTGTGTCGTAAGACAGTGTTTTGCCAACATGTGTCTTCCATCTCGTTTTCATCTTGCATTAGCTTGCCTAGATCTCTTGGAAGAGAATTCCTCTGCTCCCATCTATTTAATATGTATTCTCGTTTACAATGACTAATGTCGCATCAAATTCTGGATTGCCGAGCGGGGTGGGGGGTAAAGACACATCTGCCCTAAACCCCGGTGGCTCCAACCATAACCGAGCTGACACTGATAGATTAGTTGACGGGTTAGTAAAGAACAGGAATTGCAATGACGTCTCATTGCGTGAGCTCATTGAATGCAAAAATAATGCGCATTCTGAGCAAAATAGCAATAGAGCGGATCGGAGACTGGCTACATCAGGCTTTGTTTTGGATGATGAAGAGATTCTAGACCCTCCAGAAAATGAGCCAAGGGCCTGTTACGGACCTAGTAGGCCCTTTCATGAAAATGCACCGTTGATCAACACCTTCAGTGTCTTCAATGCCGTAACCCCACACTCATGTGACGTGTTCCACCAAGCCCCATCAGCAAACTAGGGGGTCATTGTACAAGATTATACAGGCTTGTATGAACAGCACAAATCTACAACAAAGTCTCCTCTTTACAAGCTTGTAACAGAGGGTTACAATCTGTACATATAGGCACAGTGTGTCCACACTGGACAGATAGGACAGGTTGGACAATGTAGACAGACCTAGACAAACTAAACAGTGTTGACAAATGAGAGACAATTGGATAGACCGCACAACAATGATGCAATTCAAAAGACTATTACTAAAGTGCTATATAATGATGTTGACATCCTCTTCAGCTGAGCCGCTGTCTGAACCATTGCGAACCCCACTCATCATCCCAAACTCGACCCATTCCTCCAACATCTCTTTCAGCTCTTGACGATGCTCAGGAATATCTATCAATGTATCAATGGATTTTCATAGGGAGTTGAAATCAGATCTGCATTTATCAGCAGAGAGATCTTGGACTTTGTCTGTACCGGTTTCACGGAAACCACTCAGAATGCCCTTCACCTGTGGAGACTGATCAGCAGTGGGAATAAATGGATTAAAATAATCATACAACCACGGCTACGAGAATGAGGCCATTGATGGGAATTGAGCATTGAAATTCCTCTGTCAACTTCAATGCTTTTTTGCCGTTGCTGTAGTAAAAATCTAGACATCCATCTTTAAGAACCTGCAATGCGAAGTTCTTGTACCTGCCCTAAAAAAATAAATACAATAAGTTGCTGCCCCACAGTCATCACCAACCTCAGATGAGTCAGGAAGCCGAAGGTAGTCACTGGACTTGATCAGTTTAGACGCTGCTTCAGTAACACATTTCTGCACCAAGTCCTTGTGCATCACACTGCTTCTCGGGAAGATGTTGTATAGTTGTTTCGCAATAGAGATGACAACTTTCTTGAGTTCTGTCTGGAATGTAAACAAGTCATCGCAGAGCTGATGACTTGTCAGCTAGTACATCCAGACAGTACCTGAACTCACCAAGTGTGACATCTGGTCATGATATTCCAGGAAATATCCTAGGGACACCAGATTGCGATAACCTCCGGTAGTATGGAGGGACTTACCGTTGTCCAACCTAATCTTCTTCGAGTGGTATTTCCATAACTCTGCATCCAGGACTTCCCATGCGAGTCCTACCGCATCACGATGCTCTGGAATTGGGTGCGTTAGTACAGCCTGCAAGTGCATTTCCAACTTTGCCGCCTGAAGAAATGTCTGCCAACAGGTTGGGTAAAATCCAAGCTTCGAGGGGTTTACTTGTTTGCTTGCCCTTTCCACTTGGTGCTTGGGCTGGTCACCCTCATCAGGCGTAAGACTACAAGATTGAGAATGGCCTGAAGTAGGAGAAGGGGAAGGCGCATGACCTGACCAAGCAACATGGCTAGGTGGAGCCTTTGATAAGGAGCACCTACGAAAGGGGGGCTGTGTGTGACTGGATGATGAAGCTAGTCTACTGGTGGAAGTACGAGAAATGCTTGAACATGGAGATTTAGAGCCACTGACAAGGGTTGATTGAGTTGGGGAGCGCCAACGAGGAGACAGTCCACGGGTGGAAGCACGAGAAATGTCTGGATGCAGAGACTTGGAGCGAGAAGCAGAAGAACCCTGACTTGGAGGTCTTTGAACAGAACATTTTGTAGACAGCGCATTTTGAGCCATGTGCAGAGGTTTTACATGAGTGGATGGAGCACGGGTACTCTCAATAGATCGGCGATGAGACACCTAGTTGGAGGAGATTAGAAACATGCTTTGGTAAAAATGAGAACTTATGCGTTTGTTTGTGTATTGATGGGGAGACTTCGAGCGAGAACATGGATGCGAGTGCCTAAGAGAGGACTAGGGCAAGTCAGTGTTTGCAAGTTCAAGTGTGAAAAAAAGGTTACACTTGATAGACAGCTTGGTGAAGGAGCCTTGTGCCGTCCATTTTTCGCCTGGTGCCACTCAAGGACATCAAAAACACCCAGATCATTACGTTCATTGTCTGCTTGGGAATCCTCGCCTTGGTTTCGGTCTGATTCCATCAGATCATCATCATCATCATAACGACCCATTTGCAGAACCTCCCTTGAATATTGTTCACTGTGTTTATTTATCTTGTTCATAGTCTTGTTGTTCATATTTGTCCTGATTGTTGTCCTGCTTGTTGTCCTGCTTGTTGTCCTGCTCATCTTCTTGTTTGTCATCATGTTCGCCATGTTCGCCATCTAGTTTGTCTTGTTTGTCTTGTTCATGTTGCTGGTAGCTGTCATCAGGATTTCTGAAAAGATCTTCATTGTCTTGCATGTCATTGTCGTAAGTGTCGTACTCGAGCTCGTCACGATCAGGTGAGTCTTGCTCCATCTCTCTAGTCTTGTTCTGGCTGCGACCAGGTCCGGTTAGGTCCCGACTGTCAGTAGCAGACGGCAGCTTGAACCAAAACCTATCAGAATGGTGTGCAGTGTGGAGGAATGGATGTGGAGAGCGAGCACATTGGCATTCTGGCTGTACAGCTTTGGCCTTTGCAGGAGCCTGCAATAATGTTCATTGTTAGCTGAGTAGCTCGAATAGAACATTTGTTTTTTTCTTTGCTCTCACGACTTGCAAAGGAGCCATTGGATTTTCTTCTGAATCACTCATTTCAATAGCGCCCTTCCTTTGCCTTGTTGGGGCCATCACCATCTCACCAGCTTTTTGCAGCTGGGCTACATGACCTCCAACACCTCGATTTGATTGTACACTCCGTCGAGAGGGCTCAGCATCCTTCCTGGAATTGTTTCCTGGAGAAATATGTCTGGCTTTCTTCCTGGGAGGCATTGAAATTGGTGGTGGAGGTTGGCTCACAGGCGTATTTTGGAATATTCACTTGCATGATATAGCAAATCCTGATTATGTAATAAAACGATTCGAGCTGAGTAAGAATGCACAAGTTTTCTGTGTATGAGTAGACTTAAGTACAGATGTTGAACTGATAGTCGCCAGGACTTGATCAGCTTCAATGATGTTCCTGTCAGTATTTGTGCAATTGCACCGGATACAATACTGTCTCATTGCTTCGCAATAGAGATGATAACTTTCTTGAGTTCCGTGAGAAGTGGATAACCCATCACAGGGCTTACACATCAGTACATGGAAACATGCTTCTTCTTCTGCCTGGAACAACGAGGTCAATCACTCGAAGCAGCCTGAGGCGGAGAGGGAGGGGGGATGTGCGAACGATGTCAAAGAAATAGATGGCACCAATGAATGTGAAGAAGGTGTTATCCGGCTGGAATGACGAGGCTGCAGAACCAGGACCATGGCTGAAGAAGAAGCTGAGGAACCTAATAGACTGGTAGATGGAATTGGCGGTGCCATCTGAGGACTGGAAAAGTTGCAGATGTTATCCAGCCCCCGTTGTATGATCTCACAAATTTTGTCGTGAGAGATGTCCTTTTGGTTCCTTATCGCATCACCAATTGCTATGCGCCAGTCCTCAAGGATGGGATGGCAAGCTCAGAAATATGGTGCAGGCTCATAATGCAGAGCTGTGTCCATCAGAAATTCTTTCTTGAGGGATCCACTAGTCCCGAGACCATCCTTGTCCATCGCAACATAGGCTTTATGCCATCTACGGGAGTTCTTGGGGGCACCCCCCTGTTTGTGATTAGGCCGCCAGGCCCATCGTATATGATCGTAAATTCAAGGAGAATATAGAAGAGTGACTCAAGGTTATTGGAGGCCTTGTGTTCGATTGAGTCAGGAATCAGAGTGCCTCCCATCAGCTTGAGAAGGCGGTAGGATATGTACGGTATCATTCCCTTCGAACAAGATCAAGAAGAATACAGAATATATCAATTTCAAACTTACTGTTCCACGCGAATTCTTTGCTTGATTGATAAATTGGATGAATTTGGCATGGTCGAAGTCAATAAAGTAGCCTTTTCCCTTGAATATGATGAGGTTGTTGGGACTGAGATCTCCATGAAGAACCTTCCGCTGTGTCGTTATTGTTTTGTGGGTTACCAGTATCTTTCAGCACCAGAAATTTAGGTGACCACCAGGGGAACTCACCAACAACAAGGTCACAAAAAACATTGACCAGCTCTGGTATAGACTTGAAGTTGGTTAGCGGGAGTCCACAGGGAGTCAAAAGCATGCGACGGTGAATCTTGTTGGTATAGGTGAATCTGGGAGGTGATCACAGACATGGTCACAAATGTGTGCTGTGCTGTCGACACATCCATCATACTTTATGTCCCAATGTTTTCTTAGCCGGACCACATTTGGAACACCATCGACGGCTCGGAGAAAATTGACCTCTTGCTCTAGTTTGTCCTCATCTACCCAACAGTCCTTCAACACATACTCCTGTCCATCATTGTCCTGGACACGATAACAAACAGTTCCGCATGAAAAAAGACCATGACTTTTCCACAGAATAGCCATAATCCAATACACCTCACCTTCATCGCCTATAACCCAACCCGCTGCTTCGGCTGGTATGGAATCAACCCCCCCAGTAAATTAGCATGAGCAGCGATGGAGCAGAGGGTGTTACAAACATGAATGGTGGGATCAAGACCAAGAGCAGAGTGGCTTCCATGTTTAAGACATCGGCAAAATGTACAGCATCTCGACCGATTGGCATGGGTGCTGAGATGATCATTCCAGAACGGTCCAAGTAATGGGCATGAAGCTTGAAGTTTGCAATACTGAAAAGAAGAACTAAATGATGCCACAGCTGTTTGCACATTATAAGGTAGCCTTTGGTTGCAACCCCCAAGAATATTGGTATGCCCTTTCCCTCCGCCAGTTCTGAGATGGTGATCTCTACTCCTGTCAGAACATCCGCCCAACTCTTCTCCTTCCTACTGCACTTCTGCAGTCTATAGTCCATAAGGACTAGATCAGGTTTCCTGGAATCAGTGGCGTCCGGTACAGCAATGTTGGAGAACTCTGAAGACCAGTATCGTGGTTCTGGTAGAACGTGGAAGGGCAGCGAGCCCATCTTGGATTTGACCTTGTTACGCATGTCATAGCAGACACTTCTGAAGAGGCGCTCCAAATTCTTCTCTTCCAATGCCTTTATAGCCAGGATTGGATGTTTTTCTCCAGTCTGATACGATCTTTGCAACCAGCTGCCATCCATCTCCAGCATATCTTTGCCTACACTGAGGCTTCCATCTGCCTCCTCCTTCTCCTCCTCCTCCTCCTCTGTATCAATCTGTGATTCCTGCTGGTTCCATTTCGTCTTCTTCAGTGGACCATCAAAGGCATGGGTAAGCCTCCATTGCGAAGTGATACTCCGTGGATTTGGCAATACAGATAAACCGTGTATGATATAATTGTCCTTCTTCTTGATATACTTGATTTTATGAATATCTTGAATTTTAAGACTAGATCGCGGAATAAGGATGTCGAGGATGGACAATGTGCAGCCTTGTATGCCCTCCTCCCACAGAACTCGTTTGCTGCCCATTAAATTGTTATCTGGGCCTACTAGTAGTTCGTGCTTCATCAACTCGTCCATGTAATCCTGCTTCCGATGTGTAAAGTTGCCACTGGCAGGGATGGAGGTAGTAACTGTTGCAAGAAGATAATTTAACATGAAGGATGTTGATGCCGATGTCATGACACTAACAACAGAGCTTGGGCCTTCACTGAATTGCTTTGAGCCGCAGAGCTGCACATTGGTTTTTTCCGCACAAAGATTGACCTAAATCAAGAACAGAATGCTATCACATTTCATCTAGCTATCTATGTGAAGCATAATAACGGGCATAATAAAAATCTTTATAAAAGTACTTGTTCAAAAGAAATGATTGAGAATAGTGCATAGATGTTGCTTTCATGAATCGTACATCTGCCACATCCCCTAGCCGAGGGATGAGGCTGATAAAAGAACGAAGTTGACACAGGGGAACAATATTACCAACGGGAGTGCCATCAGTATGCTTGACACATTTCAGAATGATCATCTCAGTGGCAGGATCGACTGAACCAATGGTCAGAACCTGCACATAGCACAGATATTGATCTTTCCAAGTGATGTGAGAACCTCTTCGAGGTGTTGGACGCATGATGAGGTGCAATTCACATATTGCATGACCTTCAAAGCATGAAGGTTTGTATGTGTTCATATCAATAAAGAAATTCTCACCTGTTAGACCTGATTCAGGCCACACAGACCCTCCTTCAACATTGACAAGGACAGCGTCCTGTTGGCCTTTTGGCCACCCAGGGCCAGGAGGAGATGTGTGTATGGTTTGAGCCGGTAATGTGATGCTAGAATTGTGGAAAGATGTTTGCTGAAGGTGAATAGTATACCATAGTTGAACACGGTCAAATGGAAGGATTGGAGGACGGTCAATCAACAGCCTTCTTCTTGGACCCCCTACCTCATAAACTGCTCCTCTCTCCCTCACGTCATGTAGCAAGAATTCTGAAAGTGCTACATGCAGATCTGGTATGTTGAAATCAGTGGCGATGTCATCAATGCTAACTCTGGTGTGAGAAGGATTGTAGTTGAGGTGGATTGCAGTACCACCAGCAATAAATGTTCAAGGAGGGTGAGAAATAGCTCCATCCCTCGCAGCAACTATTTGCCTTGCCTTGCTGAAGTAATTCATGGTGATGTGGGTGTGGTTCATTTCTTCTAGAAGTGCAGTTCATGGATCGTCCTGTTCCCGCTCGTCGCAATCGATTGCCCCCTCATCTTCCTCCTCAGGAACATCTCCAGGGCTGTCATTGGGATCATGGTAAGTGCGATGACTCTTCAGCATCGTGGCGATTGCGAAACATTGCAACTTTTCATCTCAATCTAGATGCCGGCAGATCTGGGGATCATAGTCATTGTTATCACTGGAAGCATGAAAGACTTTTTCAGCAAGAAAAATGTTGAAAATTTTGTAAAAAAAGGTTTAAATACACCACTAATTTTGGTGTATTTAAACCTTTTTTACAAAATTTTCAACATTTTTCTTGCTGAAAAAGTCTTTCATGCTTCCAGTGTATTGGTATGACGTGTGGGGTCCTTGATTTCTGAAACATGGGCGTGCTCGGTCACATCTGCAGACCACTGAATCAGAGCACCCATGTTGCGTGTGCCAAAAGTGATGCTCTGAAGAAATTCTAGTTTGGGAATAAACCAGTTATCAATAGGCTTCTTGGTTCCCATCCGCGCGCCCAAAGTCATGATGATGTCCTTATTTTCATGGAAAGTGCAAAGGGCTTGGTCAATACTTGCCAATAAGTCATCATCGGAAGCAGGGCTCTGTGCCAAATATTGAACATCCATAAGGGCACGGATTGCGATGACAAAACAATGAGGGGCTGCACCGGATGTCAGGCCAATGATGTAGCATTGGATATCATGGTGACCTCTCCCTGTGACTTGTTTGAGTTTCGAGATTTTGCCAGCGAAGTGGCGATAGATAACCTGTGACAGGCTGTAGGATCGAGAACCAGAAATCAAGTTCTGAGGCACCAACAGCTACTAGACACCACTGACAGTCATGGTTGAAAAACTCCTTGTGCCAATGATGCAGTGCTTCTGACATCAGGAAGATTGAGGGATCAGCGAGCGGCCAGTCCATCCAGAATGGTGTGCAGATGCCGTTTAGCCGGTATTCAGTGCAGGCGTCAAAATATGCCCTGAGGTCAGTGGGATTGACCATGATGCTGGCGAGCAAGCCCCTTCAGTGACAAATTCCGTATTATACGGGCCACCCGACCTACATAATATCCCATATGAGATGGGCCAGCGGATTATGGGCCCATGTTGTGTATATTCTCGATGATGACGGATGGGCCGGGACACATATTATTTCCGATGTTGACGGGTGGGCCCATGTATGCCAATGATATATATATCCTTGATGTTGACGGATGGGCCGGGGGAATATGATCATTCATGGAGATGGGTGGGCCCATCAGGGTAATATGTAGAGTAGGATATTATAGACAGCTGGGCTGAAGAGAGATGTAAGGCAAATATTGTTATATAGACGGGTGGGCCGACGGGGGTGTATTACATATATGGGTGGGCCGAGGTAGGGGAATATTACATAGATGGGTGGGCTGACGCGGGGTGTATTACATATACAGGTGGGCCGACATAAAAAGTATTACATATACGGGTGGGCCGAGGGTGTGATAAAATATTTATTACATAGACAGGTGGGCCAAGGTGGGGTATAATTATATAGATGGGTGGGCCGACGTAGTATGTATTATATAGATGGGTGGGCCAACATAGGATGTATTACATAGACGGGTGGGCTGACGTGGGGGAATTGTACATAGATGGGTACATATATGGGTGAGCCTAGATACATATAAATGTCAAATTTTCAGTGCAAAACCCCAAACCGAGATTTACCAATCCCTGAAACCCGAAATTGTGGACTGCCGGGTGTCGGGTTTCGGGGTTTGGGGGTCCTGGAACTCGGAACTTGGTATGTGAGACAAAAATATATTTCATACACGGGTAAGTCAATGTGTCCGTCAATCAACTCGATTGTAAATTATATTTTATTGATCTCCCCAAATTTCCCAAGTTCCGAGTTCCGAGTTCCGGGACCCCCGAACCCCGAAACACGACACCTGGCAGTCCACAATTTCGGGTTTCGGGGGTTGGTAAAATGTGTATGGATAGATGAAAGGTTGATTTAAACATTTTTGAAAGATGTCCCATATGAAATGTTAAGTCCCGAATTTTGAACTCCGGGTTTCGGGACTCCGGGTTTCAGGACTTCGGGCTTCAGGACTCGGGACTCCAGAAAGCCGGAAATCGAAACTTGGGACTTGACATTTCATATGGGACATCTTTCAAAAATGTTTAAATCAACCTTTCATCTATCCATACACATTTTACCAACTCCCGAACCCCGAAATTGTGGACTGCCGGGTTTCGGGGTTCGGGGGTCCCGGAACTCGGAACTCGGAACTTGGGAAATTTGGGGAGATCAATAAAATATAATTTACAATCGAGTTGATTGACAAACACATTGACTTACCCGTGTTTGAAATATATATTTTTTGTCTCACATACCGAGTTCCGAGTTCCGGGACCCAACTCCCGAACCCCGAAATTGTGGACTGCCGGGTTTCGGGGTTCGGGGGTCCCGGAACTTGGAACTCGGTATGAGACAACAAAAATATATTTCGGGGTTTGGAGGTTAGTAAAATGTTTATAGATATACGGAGGTTGATAGAAACATGTTTGAAAAATGACGTTCATCTCAAATGTCAAATCCTGAGTTCCGGGCTTTGGGACTCGGCACCCGGCACCCGGCACTCGGGGTTCGGCACTGAAAATTTGACATTCGGGTGTTAGGGTGTAGGGTGATATCTACCTCAATCTACAGTTTCAAGTTCTGGATATCGGGACTGATTATTGAATCATTCAATTGTGGCATAGGTAACATGCATTGAAAAAGATTTATGTACATCTATCACTGAGCAATTATGTAGCCATTGCAACCTCCTCACCAGGAAGATCAACCTTCCCCTCAACATCCATATCCTCATCAGAGGAATCATATTCTGGCAGGAGGTTACCTGGTTCATTAGGGACCACAATATTGCCGGAGGATTCTGGCAAGAGGTTGCCTGGTTCATCTGGGAGCACAATTTCGCCGGAGGATTGTGGACCCTCAGGCTGAACTTGGGTGGGCTCAACCATGAGACCTACCATAGCAGATCCATCCTCAACCATCAAGGGTGTGGGTTCCATGACTGACATGTCCAAATCAATGAGGTTGGAAAGTGTGGAGGGGAGGGGTGAAATGGACGGGGGGGACCAGATTGATCAAGCAAGATTGTTGCATCAGCCGGTGTGTCCGGAAGTGAAAATGAAGGGTGCGGGTCGACCATCGTGCGCCGGAGGCTCTCATGGAGGCATTGCAGGGTATCAATCTTAGCATCCTGCTCCTGCACCCGAGCCTCAAGAATAGCGATGCGAGCTGCACCATCCAGAATCGCGATTGCCATGGAATGGAGATCCGGCATGGGAACATCGAGTGCTGCACGAGGCACTGCGGAACTCAAAGACCAAACAGCTAAGTAAAAAATAAGGTCAGCCGGTCATCAAAAGTGTGGGTGACTTACGAGCTGGCGCAGGTGCAGGGGCAGGTGCAGGGGCAGGTGCAGGTGTCTTCTTGGTAGTGATGGTCTTGCTGCAACCACGTGACTGCACCTGGGGTGTACTTGCAGCAGCGATGGCCGGAGTTCGGGACGGGCCACGAGATTGACTACGAGTCCAGGCCCTTGACCGGGAGGGAGACGGAGCAGTGGATGGAGCAGGGGCAGGTGTCTTGGAACGCGTCCGTCCCGTGGTAGACTTCCCTCGGGTCCGTTTGGGCGGGGATCCCAGAGATGCCGGGTTGCATTTGATCTTCTTGGTGGAGCAGCAGATGCAAGACAAGCAGGGGAGGCTGGACCTCTTGTCCAAACGAGTCGCACAGGGCCAATTCTCCTTGACGCAATAATGGCAGGGGTTGTTCTGTGGTATCCGTTAGTAGATGGACTAGGGGAATTAATTGAGCACTCACTGGGCCGGGAATGGTGATATCAAATGTGGTAGTGGCCGGAGGGTCACTGTCCGAAGCGCTGGAAGTATCACCAGTGGACTCCTCAACTTCCGGACGACTGCCGGAGGTTGCCTGATAAATTGTAAGTACACATGTGAATTCCGGGCGAGCTTGTAAGACTTACCCAAGCCTCCGGACAACTGATGGGAGATTCCTAATGCGATGGGCATGAGTATGAATGATACATGCGAGTTCCGGACCTGTCCGGAAGACTCACCATGACCTCCGGACGCTTGCCGGCAGTCAGCTGTGGACACATGAGCATATATATGAGTTCCGGACGACTAAATCAGACTTACCGAAGCAGGCCCAAATGATTGCTTCTTGGGGGAACCAGGTGAACGAGGCAACTGGGGCTTCCTTACAACAATGGTGGAGAGCTGGGGAAGGACGACCTCCGGCACTCCACGCGAAATTGGCTACAACAAATTGAGAGCATGTCACAAATGAGCCAGAACACATACCTGAACAATTGGGTCTTCATCATCTTCCGACTCCACAAACGGCTTTGACTTGGGGGGTCCAGTTGACTTGACACGCTTGTGACCCTTCATCGCCGACTTTGGAGGTTGGGAGGAGTGTCCAGAAATCATGGGGGACTTCCTCTTGTTGCTCCCTCCGACTTCCGTCTCCAAGTCAACAGAAATGGCCTTACCTTTTCCTTTGTCCCGGAACTCGGAGGTCGTCTTGCCGGAAGGTCCGGCGACATTGCCGGCGACGACGGGAGGGGAGTGAATGACAGTGGCGGGGAAAGGGACAGGTGCGGGGGAAGGGACAGGTGGAGACGGAAGATTGACAGTCAGTGGGCCAGTGGAAGGATTAGAAACAACAGGGAGATCACAGGAATTGTCACCCAACGCCTCCCAGGCACGGACCTGCTTGCGCCAGGCGTGTCTAGCCACCCGGGGATCATCATGGCCAATGCTGTGCCAGTTGGGCAACACCTGGGGAGTCATGGAACGCACCCTCATCAGCTCCTTAGAACAGGAAGCCACAATGCCAGGGATGTAATCCCCTTTCTCATGCACCCGGATGATGTCAGCCTACCCGGATATTAGAAACATCAATGGTAAACTAATTTAATAAGTGCAACTTACCAACCGATTGGTGACCTGCCTTGCCAGAGCAATGTGGACGTGCACTGAGCCGGCCGGGACGTGCCGGGCGCCGGCAATGACGCCCACAAGTTGAGCAGTGGATGCCTTGAGGTCGGCCAATGAAGATTGAACTGGAGTAGACATTTGGATTGAGTTGACAGATGTGAGAATGTTGAAAGCAGGGTGAAATCTGTTATCACTAGAATGAAGTTTCAAAGAAACAATACAATTGAAGGACAATGTTGAAAATCGTTGATTGTTTGTCTTTGTTTGGTCATGGTTCAACTTTCGGCAATCGCCGGCCATGTGTTGAACTTCAACATTATCTGTTATCAATCAGTTCATCAGTTCATCAGCTCATCAGATATCATGAGCTCTCAACCTGGGGTCAGATTCCATGACCCTCCGGTCACTGAATCCACCTCAATGGATGTGGATGAGACCTCCCAGTCCCGGATGTCCCTTGGTATGTTTTGTTTCTGCTGATTTCAGTGAATTGATCTTACATGGTTTAGATCCATTAGATGATATATACCTTGGGCCGGATGATGAGTTAGACTCTGATTCTGGGTCATCCGGTGGTTTGGATTCGTTAAATGCAATTCCCGGTATGTTTCTCAATTCAAATGTACATATTCTACATGTGCAAATCCATCGCATACTTCCAGATCCATCATATCCGGCCCTGGCAGATGGACTGGCCCTGTACGATGACCCGGACTTGTATCTTGGTCCGGAGGATACCTTTATTTCGTCTGATGATGCTCCGGCTGTACCCGATTTTCCTATGGCTGGTGAGGTTATTCTTTTCATCTCATGTTCATTTTTCATGGCATTTCCCCAGTGAATGAATCGACTCCCGAACCTCATCCGGCCACTCTGGCTGTACCAGAGGCACCCATACCTTGTACGTGTATTCATATCATGTCATGTGTTCTATTCATGTTATCTCCCAAGCGAATTCAGAAACTCCTGAACGTCAATTGC